TATATATATATATATATATATATGTGCGCAAACGCGCGCTTCGGCGCGCGCGCATACCGAAAGCCAGACAACTTCGGGCGCCGCAAGGATCTTAACATCGAGTGCCGCGTCAACATCAAGTCTCGCGCAACGAATGTTCAAACAAATCTGCGCTCGAGCTCTTGCAGATTTTTAAGAAGGCATAAGTATTTGCACGTGCTCACCAACAGCTACCAAACGCGCCTTTCGCGCGCGCGCGTCGAAATCGCTCGACCGCCCTCGCGGGCGCTCTGTCGCAAGAGTCGCTCGCAAGAGGAGCAGGGCGAAGTGCGCGCGCGCCGTTGCGCGCGCGCGGCAGCCCGTCGACGGCCCGAGGTTTCAGAGGGCGCAAAATCGAGCGTCTCGGAATATCATTATAAAACAAAGGTTTTGGCAACGCCAGTTCTCAAGAATGCCTGCGCTCGCGCTCCTGCGTATGCTTAAGAAAATCATAGGTTTTCCTTAGCAGGTTCATTCAATTATGTCAAGCGGGCCTCTCGTGCCGCATTTTCAAATCATTCGAGCGCCTCTGCGCGCGCTCGGGGGGGAGGGGGCGGTGCGACCCGCGTCGAATCATGCCGCGCGGGCCACTCGCGCGCCGGCCGCGCGCGCGCGTCGAACTCCCTCCAAATCCTTCATCGCCGAGTCGAGGCCGCCGTCATCGTCGCCGGCGTGATCGGCATTGACGCCGTCACTGGCCTTGCCGTCGCCGTTGTCACCATCGGCAGCAGCATCGCTAGCGCCATCGTCGCGTCTACCGTTGTCGACGTTGCCATGATACCGCGCCCGCTCAGGCCGCCGACTCGCGCCCAAATCCCTGCTAGGAAGGAAGTGCCCCGCGGTCAGCGCCGCCGCCGCGGCCGCGTCGGTCGCGCCGAACTAGCTGGCCGTTTCGCGCGCGAGCACGCGCGCTAGCCCGGCCGCGGGGGCGCGCCGGCCTGCGCAGAGCAGTCGTCGCAGTCGCCGCTTGCAAACCAAGTTGCGAGTGGGTGGGTGGGGTGACTGCGCGAGCAGTCGAGTTGATCATTTCAATATGGGCAGGGTGGATTGTCTTTTGTCAAAGGAAAGTCGAATTCACATTCCTCTCCAGAATTGATGGCTTCGTAGTGCCATTCACATGCGATTCTGCCCCACCGTCCATTTTAATGTGAATTTATACCCAACCAGGCAGGCCGGCATCGGCCCCCCCCCTCATCCTGTGCCAAACATATTATGCGCATCTATCAAGAATCATCCGTTTCCAAAAAAAAACCTTTTGCAAAAAGTTGCACGAAGTGCGCGCGCGCGCGTCGTTGCGCGCGCATGCCAAGATCTTTCAAAAAGCTCGGGGGGGGGGGCGACCAGAAAAATAAGGCATCGCAGCATTAGTTTTGGATAAGAAAAAGCTTGCGCCCGCGTTCTAGCGAATCTTCCAGAAAGCCACAGGTTGTTCAAAATCTTTATCACATGCTACCAAACGGGCCTCCCGCGCGCGCAGGTCGAAATCGTTCGAACGCCTTTGCGCGCGTGCTGTCGCAAGAATCCATTGCAACACGCGAGGCGAAGGGCACCCGCGCGCGTCGTGCTCCAAAATCCATGAACAACCTTGGGTGTCGCACGGATTTCAAAATTGAGTGTCGGAGCAGCATATACAACAAAAAAGACTTTGCAACGCTAGTTGTCGCAAAAGCTTGCGACCGAGCCTTTTTGTGCATTCTCAAGAAGACCAACGTGTTTCTCAGAATGTTCACTCAATTCTGCCATGCGGGCTTTTCTGGCCGCATATGGCAATCATTCGAACGCACTTGCGCACGTGTGGGGGGGGCACGAACCGGCTCAAATAACACCATGCTGGCCACTTTCGCGCGTCGGCGGCGCGCGCATGTCGAACTCCTTCCAACACCTTCATCACCGACGAGGGGACGGCGTCATCGTCGCCGGCTTGATCAGCATCGGCGCCGTCACTGGCGTCACTGGCCTTGCCGTCGCCGTTGTCACCATCGTCACCAGCATCGCTACGATCATCCTTGCGGTTGCCGTTGCCGCAGTTGCCGACGATGCCATGATACCGCAACCGCCCAAGTCGCCGATTCGCACCGAAGTGCCCGCTGGGAAGTACCCGGCGGTCGGCGCCACCGCGGCCGCGTCAGTCGTGCCAAACTAGCTGGCTGTTTCGCGTGCGTGCGTGCGCGGGTTAGCGCGTTCGCACCGATGCACCAGCCAACCCCAGGCACTCATCGCAATCGCCGCCGCATGGGCTTACGCAAACCAAGTTGCGGGCGGGTGGGTGGGGTGATTGCGCGAGCAGTGGGGTGGACAACTCAGTGCGAACATAATTTAGTTCCACCCCGTAAGCTTCGCCCCCATTGGTTTCGCCGCCCCGCACCTGGGGCTCGAACCCTTGATGTGTTTACTGGGGCGTGCACGTACGATCCTGTATATATATATATATATATATATATATGTTTCGAATGGGGTTCGGATCCCCGGTTGCCCTTCGACTGGGGCTCAAACCCATTTTGTGTTTTCCGTACGTTCGTTTAGACTACCTCTTCCCATGGGGCTCGAGGCTTTCGTGTTTCGATTCCCCACCGCTCCCCAAACATCTCGTGGTGTCGGGTCCTCGCTTTGAAGAGACGCCGCCCCGTGTCTCTTTCCGTTTTTCCTTCCCGCCCGCTGCCCCCCTCCCTCCTCCCAGTACATGCCTCTGCCCCCCGCACGTCCGCCAGCACGGCGCACCCCTCACACGCCTCGTGACCACATGGGGAGCTCCATCGAAGGCCCCAGTGGCCGCGGCCGCATGCGTTTGCGCCACTCCGTACAGCGCTTCGTGGCCCCATAGGGAGTTCCACCGAAGGCCCCAGCGGACGCGTTCGCATGCGTCCGCGTCACCCAGTACAGCGTTTTGTGGCACCACAGGGATATCCACCGAAGGCCCCAGCGGACGCGTTCGCATGCGTCAGCGCCACCCAATGGAGCGTGTCGTGGCCCTTTTAGGGAACCCCACCGAAGGCATTACTGGCCGCGCTCCCATGCGTCACTGCAACCCGCTACAGCGGCTCGTGGCCCTACAGGGAGCTCCACGGACCGCGGCCGCATGCGTCCTCCCTCCGCCCAGTTCAGCGCTTCGTGGCCCCAATATGGGGGCTATACCGAAGGCCCCAGTGGCCGCGGCCGCATGCGTCTCCCCCATCAATTACGGGATCCCCCTCGCGCGCATGTTGGCCCCATGAGGACTTCCACAGGAACCAGCACTCACAACGCGGTATTCACAATTGCGTATGGTTGGATGCTTCCGAATGAAGGGCTTACGACACCCATTGATGCTCAGCACAAATGATTCAGGAGCTGCTGACCCCAGCAGGGCTAAGTACCTCCTTAAGTTCAGGGATCCGAGACACTCCACCTCGTCCGTCGGTCTGTTCTTGCTTGTTTTGCGTTTCCTTGCTGTTGTCGTGGGACGGTACAAACTCCTTTTCGTGTCTCGGGGCTCGGAGGCAGATGTGGTGCAACAGCTGCAATGATATAGGGCGCTTCGTGTCCAAAGCAGGGCTCTCGCTTGCGCCTTTCTCGCTCGAGGCGTCCTCGCTGGGATTATGCAAGCAGCTGCTTCGTCATCTGTTGTTTCGCCGACCAGCGCGGGCCCTGTCCCCCCCACCCCCCTCCCCTAGACCAGATTTTGGATGTTTTTGGAGGCTGCTGTTGGCGACTGCTCAGGGACCCCCGCCCCCAGTTTGCTTGCGCGATTGGTAGAAGCAGACCGACCAAGCACCGGCCTGGATCCAGACACACCTCCTCCCCTACCGTTCGACCAGCCGTCGAAGCCCAGAATTAAAAAGCGCTTGTCACCGCTTTGCACGGATGGAGGACAGCCCACTTTCGAAACAGGGCTCTCGCTGGACCTTCCGTCAACTGTATGACCGTGATATGGATTCGTTGTTCTTGTTGCTAGATGGGTGCATCGCGGCTCCTCTTCAAAACAAACATCTCACCTGAATGACGGGTCCATGGGGCGCTCGTCGTTCATGTAAGGAATGTGTGCAGGGACAGCAGGATGAGGCATGGGACCAGAGGCGTATTTTCAGCGTGATTGATGCATCCTGGGCTTACTCTTGTCGTCCTCATCTCCCTCCTGTCTTTCTCGAAGCATCCTCGATTGCTCTCCCCCATGCTTATCCAGACATCCGACAGCGTGTCTTTTTTCACAACGTGTCTCCCTAGAGGTGAAGAGCCATTCCCGGGGGCCAGTCTTTCATCTCAGGCCGTTTTGGAAGGTCCAGGGGCCCGGTCACGGTCCCCAGAGACCGAAAACGGCAAACAGCAACACGTCGTGATTGTTTCGCAATGCATGGATGTCAGGGTACAGTCGGGGCCCTGAAGAAGGAACCCTGTTCGGTGGGGAGGGGCTCCGTGTTCCTCGATCGCTTCACAGTTTGCCTTGGGTTTCCCTCTGGTTTTCGATGGGAGATCGGAGTTTGAATTGTGGGAAAAAAGGGGCCTCGTTCCTGATCTATCGCTCCTTAGGTCAAGGCCCCGACTGTATCTTTTCTCTCCTGGCCCTATGTGCTTTGGTGTGCTCTGGTCAAGCACAGCATGCTCGTGCCGTGCCGACGCGGTGGCGCCCCCAGCTGGGGCGCTCAAGGCAGGGTGGAACGCTGTCGGCGGCCACCCGCCAAACCACCCCAACCCAACCCGAAGGCCTCAATTTGCCCTCCATTTCCAGTGGGGGGGGGGTCGGGGAACATCGAAAAAACACGTGTGGAACACATACCCCCCCAACCCGAAATTCGGGTCTTCGGGGTTGGGTTGGGGTGGTCTGGTAGGTAGCCAGTCGGTGGCCCAGTGTCGGCTGATATCGGGCGACCTGCGCTACAGGAAAGCCTCGCGCCACGCCGTGTTGAAAGCCAGCCCCGACGTTCTCACGACGTGATCTCGCAGTAGTCGGATTTTTGTTCTGCGCCCCCGCGTGCTTCGGTCAAGTCAGGGCTTACTGGGGGCCTCAGGGTAGCTCCTTGCACGAGCTCGACTTGTGGTCGGACCACGCTGACCTGGAGCACACGCAGGAGTACTTCGCCCTGGCGCAGGAAGGCGCTTGCTGCCTAAGGGCCCTGGGCTTCCACGGGAGGGTCGAGGAGCACGGTTAGTTGTTTGATTTGTTTGCGCGAGAGCGTGTGTGCAAAGGGGGTGAGACTTCGCAGAATTTTGCCAGGGCGTTCCTGGAGTCACCGGGGGCCTCGTCACAGGTCGATGTTCAGCCTAGTCATGATACTGAGCCCGTCCGGCCCAGACTAGGGTGTTCTCTCTCTCTCTCTCGTTGTTTCCCTCTCTCTCTCGTTGTCTGAATATCTCTCTCTTTCTCTCTATCCCTCTCGGTGTCCACCTCAGTTTATCACCGCATGGCACAGCATTGCACAGCAGAGCTTGCCATTGAGTAGCGCTCGTGCAGCGCAGCATCGCGCAATTAAGTACCGCAAGCCACACCGTTGCACATCGTAAGCTAAACCGTGGTCTGACATGACATACCGCGTCACGCAATTGCCCATATAGTTTCGTCAATTCGCGTAGCTTACCATACCCGTAAACATCGTATTACCGATGCATGTAACAACAGCGCGCATCATAGCATTGCGTTGCCATATGGTAGAAGAGCATCGCGCTACCATGGCGAAGCACATCATGGCAGTTCGCCGCGTTATTGCCATACCATTGGGGAATCTGGACGGCCACACCATGGCATCACCAGCCTGGAACTACATCGTGTATCTATGTAATATCATTTTCAAGCATGGCGTCACTCCGAATACCACGTCATGAAAAAACGAACGTTAATTCTCGTACTCGCGGAACTATATGATGTTCGTTTGAGATGTCACGCTGTACAGTTGCATCCCATGCGACAGCATAAGGATCAGCCAGAGGACTCCGCGAGGACCCCGCGTGGCCGAGGCTGGATGATGCTACGGCTTTTGGGCACATTGCACAAAGTGAGTAGGGACACCTCTGGCAACGCCTACAGCCCTGAAGCCACAATGACGGCTGCGTAGCTTGCCTCTGCTCATGTGCGTTCCTGTGGTTGAGCGCGACGCGCTTGATGGCTCCTCTTCCATATGCCGGGCAGCGAAGAGCTAGTTGCTGCGCCGTTCCCTCCCAAAACGCGTTTCAGTTTGATCTAACAGTGGAGGGGCGACATTCAGAGGGGAGCTCCGCCAACTTGTAATGTCAAATTGCTGTCATGCTGCAACACAGAACAAAGCACTCGCCCAGACCCCTCCCTCGTGTCCCACGTCAGTGATTCGGCTGTCACCACCGCTAGTTCTGTCAAAGCAGGTGGGCATGGAAGGCCAACGCACCTCCGTGGGCCTCTTGCAGGGCATCCTGGGCGACCCAGACGTCCGACGCCGTGACTCTCTTCGCACCGTGGCGCCCCCAGAGGGCTGGACCCCTTCCAGCCCTCTCAGGTCCCCGTGAGGGCCCCGTGCCGCGCCGTGTCCACGTGAGGTGCCGCGCTCGGCCTCCAAGGAGTGCGAGAACGCAAGCCGCCCGCGTCCCGCGCGCCGTGCCACGCCCGCGCGGCGTGCCGCGTCTGCCCTCCCGACCTGCAGAACACGACCTGCAGCCCTTCGAGCGTTTCTGTTGACAGCCTCTCAGGTCCCCGCAAGGGCCCCGGAGGCCGAGGCATACCACCCCAAACCCTTCGTCGTGATTCGGTCCACGACGCCAGGTCATGGCAGGAGGGAAGGGGGCAGGAGAGGAGGGGGTGCAGGGGAGGAGCTGGGGGCGGAAGGGAGGAGGAGGAGGAGGAGGAGGGGGAGGAGGAGGGGGAGGAGGAGGAGGAGGAGGAGGAGGAGGAGGAGGAGAGAGGAGGAGAAGAGAGGAGGAGGAGGAGGCGGAGGGAGGAGGAGGAGGGAGGAGGAGGCGGCAGAGGTGGAGGAGGGCCGGCACCCGCTTCGCGCGCGGAGCGGGAGGGCCGGCGAACCGCGCGACGAGCTTCGCAGTCGCCGTTCCGAGCCCCATCTCGGCCACGGGAGTCCGGGCCGCGGGGCCCGGCTGGCCGGGCGCTCCGAGCGAGGAGTCGTCATGGAGGAGGCAGGAGATGGAAGGGCGAGGGCGGGGAAGAGGTGGCCCCGTGGGCGGGGGCGGCAGGCCTGTCCAGCCAGTCCGGTGCCGGCTGTCCGACGGGCTCCGATGCGGCCCGGTGTTTCTGCAGGGCGCCGTGGGGTACCTCGGTGCGGAAGATCCGGCTCGACTTCGACTCCGTGCCGATGCGGCCCGTTCCGACGCACCTTCAGGCCAGCCACAATTGGGGGAGCTGTGGTCCTTACCCCCCTGGGGGACCCATCGATTTCGACACCCCTCTCGAGAGATCGCCGATGCGATGGGTTCCCCCAGAGGGGGTAAGGACCACAGCTCCCCCAGTTATGGCTGGTCGGACCTTCCGCTCCGATCCGACTTCCCCGATTGGATATTGACTGATCCTGGCCCGGAGTGGGACAAACATTCACCACCCACCAAACCACCCCAACCCAACCCGAAGAAACACGACAGAACACGTGTGGAACCTTTTGCCCCCCCAACCCGACATTCGGGTCTTCGGGTTGGGTTGGGGTGGTCTGGTAGGTAGTCAGACATGGAAGAAGTGCGGGAATTGGCGGGCGCGCCCCAGCAGTGAGAAGCAGCGACGGGCAGGGCGCGGCGGAGGGATGTGCCCACGGCGCGGGGGGTGACGGGGCCTTGGACGACGACTGAGATCACAGCACCGAGAAGGGGGGAGGGTCCACCTTGTCTTCAGTCGGGCCTGCCCCTCTACAGGAGGAGTATTCAAAAATAGTAAAAAAATCGTCAGGGGACGATTTTTCTACAATTTCTGACTATTTTTGAATGTTTTTTGTTCAAAATCCGCCTGTAGGGGGACAGGCCCGACCTAAACCTTGTCCCTGAGGTCTTGCGGACCGGCAGGGGTGCCAGAAGGATGCGACGGTCAGGGGTTTTGCTCGGCGTCTCGCTGGCGCCGTTGCCGGCCGGCCACGCTTCGGCCCCCCCGTCCTACGAAGCAGAGCGACGCGCCACCAGCTCTTGCAGGGCATTGCGCGTCGCAGGACCCGTCGCCGCGACGTTTTAAGCAGAAGCTTCTGGTCGTATAGTCCTAGTCGAGCGATCTCGCAGGCCATGGTCGCAGCCTCTTGCTAGTGGCGGGCCCCGGAAGGAAAACGTGATGGGCCAGCTGGTCGAGGCCCTCCACAAGCGGGGCCTGGTCAGCAAGACGTCCTCCGTCGTGCAGGCAGCGCCCGCCGAGGAGCCCGACTCGTAGGTCTCACCATGAATCAACCAGTTCCTGAGGGCAAGGGGTTCTGAGGTATTTCGCTGTTTTCGGCCTTTGGGGCCCTCCCAAGGCGCCAGGGCCGTCAGAAGATTACCCCGGCGAAGGACCCAACCATGTGTAGGCGTAAGTACCGCAAGGCAGGTGGGACGAAGCAAGGGGAGCTCCCTATATGGCCACATGGAGTGTGAGGGGTGTGCCAGGGAGGGGAGGTGCCGCGATGCAAGCTGGCGTTGGCGCCGTTGGTGGAGCTGTCCATGGAGCCACGAAACGTGTGATCGATGTGCCGAATTGGGGCGGCGCTGCCATGCGAACCCTGCCACTGGGGCCTTCGGAGGAGCTCCCTTTGATGCCACGGAACGTGTGAGGCGTGTGTCGAAATGGACGTGACGCCCACATGCGATCCTTGCCACTTGTGCCTTAGGTGGAGCTCCCTTGGGGGCCACAAGCGTGTGAGGTGTGTGCAGAAACGGACGTGCCGCCAACATGCGAACCCTGCCATTGGTGTGCCTTAGGTGAAGCGTCCTGTGAGGCCACTCGACGTGTGAGGGTTTGGCCGACACGGGCGTGGCGTTTATTTGCAAGCCCTGCCATTATACCTTAGGTGGAGCTCATTGTGGGGGGCACCAGGCGTGCGGGGTGTGTGCCGCAACGGGCGTGACGCCCACATGCAAACCTTGCCACGGGGCCCTTAGGTGGAGCTCTCTGTGGGACCACGAAGCGTGTGAGGGATGTGCCAGGGACCCCCTGCACATTGGCGACAAGAGGTGCGGGAGTGCGTGGGGACGAGGAACGCCGGCGGTAGGGCGAACTGGAGCGTCAGCTTGCGACGAGGGAGCCGCTGGCCAGCAAGGGCACGGGCCTGGGGTTTGGCCTGCGCCTGGGACCCAACGGTGCCAGGCAGTGACCAGCAAGGGCGCAGGCCAGGGTTTGGCTGACGCCCACATGCGAACCGTGTCATTGGTGCCCTAGGCGGTGTTGGTTCCCTGTTGGGCCACTCGACGTGTGAGGGGTGTGCCGCAACCAGCACGTGGAGTGCAGAAGGAGGGATGGGAGGAGGGAGGACGGAGGGGGAGGGCAGCGGGACGAAGGACGCGGGGCGTTATCCTTGCAAAGCGAGGACCCATAAACACATGATGGTTTGGGAGCGAGTCTTGACGTTTCGCGTATCCCTACCAGCCCATCCAGGAACGATGCCTAAGGGAGCTGCCTGTATCGGGGGAGCGTCGCATCATTTGGGTATCTCGCGGAGCATCAGTGAAATAGAGGCCTCTCGGATGCTGGGGGCTGTTGGGGGCCTCTAGGGGTCCCTTGGGGGACTTTTAAGGCCTTCTTGGGGCCCTCTTTGGGAACCTTGGAGGCTTTCTTGGGACACTAATGGGAGCCATCTTCATCCATCTTGAACTATCTTGTAGAAAATCTTGGCCTCTCTGATGCCCTCTTGAAGCCATCTTGGACCAGTCTGGACGCTCCAACTGCCCGCGAAGCCCTCCGTCCAGACCCAATGAGGGGGGAAGAGGGGTCAAGCCATTTCTTCCAGACGCAAGCTGTGTGGCACACTCCCACCCGCCCTCCCAACACATAAGTAGTACCCGAGTCTCAGCATATTCAGCGATCGTCTTTGGATGGGCAGCTACTGAGAACCAATACAGGCCCCAGGCGCGACGCTGGGGCGAGGTGCGCCACGCGTGCCAGGCGCGCCACGCGCAACAGGAGCACCAGGTGCTCCTGGTGCCCAAGCGTGCCAGGCACGCCTCGTGCGCCAGATGCGCCACGTGCGCCAAGTGTGCCGCATGCTCCAGCCACGCCAGGCGTGCCACGTTCGGGGCACGCGCAGGTTGTGCCAGGTGCGCCCGCGCACATCGGGAAGCATGTCGCCCCAACCATCTTTATCGAAAAACAAGGCACAATCGCGGCGGAGTGGCCATCATGATGTCTGTCTAGCGGGCCTGCACACTGCAGGCACTATGCCAGCAACCCCGCCGTCCTTGGCAAAAGTCAACGTAAAGTGATCGCGGGTTGCCCGCGTATGGTCCACATTTAGCCGCGGAGTGCAGTTTGTATTGTTGTTTCATCGGGATGTTGAACTTGCGCGCGGCAGGCCATATGCTGGCACCCCCACCGTGCCGGTAAAACAAACAAACGGCGGTAGGACCCCACATGAGAACCCCTTTGGCTTGGCCCTGGCCAGTTCCTCTTCTCCTGGCGGAGGCCCTTCCCCCGCTCTCTGCGTCCTTCTGCTACTCCTCCTTCTTCTCGTCTTCTTTAGTTGCATGTCTTATCCTCTTCCTCCTCCTCCTTCTCCTCCTCCTCCTCCTCCTCCCCCTCATCCTCGTCGTCCTCATCCTCGGCATTGTCTTTTTCCTCATCCTCCACCGCTTCCTTGTTTCCTCTCCTCATCTCTATCCCGCCTCTTCTCCTCGTGCATCTCTCCTTCTTGCTGGCCGGGGCACGCAGGTCGATTCTCTTTGGCGCTGTCGCCGACACGGCCGGCAGGGGAGGGGCGTGTTCTCCGATGGCCGGATCGCGAAGCCGTTGGGCCAACCCCAGGTCCTCCTCCTCCTCCTCTTCCTCCTCCTCCTCCTCCTTCTCTTCCTCCTCCTCCTCGTCCTCTTCCTCCTCCTCCTCTTCCTCCTCCTCCTTCTCCTCCTCCTCCTCCTCTTCCCTCGTACCTCTAATGGATACGTGTAGCCCGAGGGACGTTGCACAACCCACTCCTTCTCCTCTTTCTTCTCCTCCTCTGCATCACCATCTCCATCACCAACATCATCGTCATCATCAGCATCATCATACTTATCATCTTCATCAGCATCAGCGCCAGCATCAGCAGCACCGTCAGTACCATCGTTATGTATATGTGTTTCAGGGAATACGTACCGAATCACGCCCCAGAGGAAATACGCCTCCTCCTCCTCTTCCTCCTCCTTCACCTCCTCCTTCTCCGTCCAATGGATACGTGCAGCACGAGGGTCATTGCACGACCCACTTCTTACCCTCCTCCTCATGATCATCATCATAATCAACGTCATCAACATCATCATCATTAACATCATCGTCATCCCCAGCATCATCAACATAATAACAATCATAATCATCAGCAGCATCATCAGCAGCAGCAGCGTCAGCATCATCATTACCACCATCAGCAGCAGCAGCAGCAGCAGCAGCAGTATACTCTCCATCACCATTCCTCCGCGTCACAGTGGATACGTGCCGAAGCACGACCCAGAGAAAGACACACGCCTCCACCTCATCATCCTCCACCTCCTCCTCCTTCTGCTCCTCCCTCCTCCCTCCTCCTACCTCCAGTGGATATGTGCATCCCGAGGGGCATTGCACAACCCACTCCCTCTCTCCTCTCCTCCTCCTCCTCCTCCTCCTTCTCCTCCTCCTCCTCCTCCTCCCTCCTCCTCCTCCTCCCTCCCTCCCTCCCTCCCTCCCTCCCTCCCTCCCTCCCTCCTCCCTCCCTCCCTCCTCCCTCCTCCCTCCTCCCTCCTCCCTCCTCCCTCCTCCCTCCTCCTCCTCTTCCTCCTCCTCCTCCTCCTCCTCTCCTCCTCCTCCTTCTCCTCCTCCTCCTTCCCACAGGTGAGCACGGCCCCAGAATTGAGCAATCGGGGAGGACGCACGGGGCGGCCTGCAAGGAGACACGCAGTCTCCGATGAGCACCTCCCTTGAGCTCGCTGGGGCCCCGCCACTGGGGCGACACAGGCCTGGGGGGGGCCTATTCGGGCTGTTCCTTTGGCCCGCTGGAGCCCCCCTGAACGAGCTTGGACCACCCCCTACACAGGGGATCGCCAAAACAGGGGGGCCGGACTTGGCCTCAAGGAACCTCACAGCGGGGGCTCCCCGCCGCGCCAGGGATCCCAGAGCGATCACGGTTTTCATGTTTGGCCAGGGGGTCTGTTCGGCCTATACTTCCCTCGCCCGAAGAAGCCCCTCGAACCTCCTTTCTGGTGTTGTAGTGTGTCACCAGGGCGCATAAACAGGAGGGGGGGTGGTCGGGCTTGGCCCGAAGGAAACCCGTAACGGGGCCTTACCGCCCCGCGGGGCTGTTCGGGTTTTCCCTTTGGCCCGAAGAAGCTCCCCTAACTTCCTTTCTGGTGCTGTAGTGGGCGCCAAAGCAAGGGGCGTGTTCGGGCTTTGCCCGAAGGCCTCCCCCGAACGGGGCCTCACCGCCCCGCAGGGCTATTCGGACTTCCCCTTGGGCCCGAAGACGTTCCTCTAACCTCCTTTCTGGCGCTGCGGTGCGCCACCAGGGCGCCAAAACAAGGGGAGGGCGTTCGGGCTTGGCCCGAAGGGCCCCCCCGAGCGGGGCCTTGCCGCCCCGCGGGGCTGTTCGGGTTTTCCCCTTGGCCCGAAGAAGCCCTCCAAATCTCCCTTTCGGTGTTGTGGTACGCCGCCAGGACGCCGAAGCCCTTCTCACGGGGCCTTACCGCCCCGCAGGGCTATTCGGACTTCCCCGCTGGCCCGAAGAAGCTCCCCAGACCTCCTTTATGGTGCTGCGGTGCGCCACCGGGGCGCCAGAGCAAGGGGGTTCGTTTGGGCTTGGCCCGAAGATCCCCCCGAACGGGGCCATGCTGCCCCACGCACCGTCTCCATGACATTAAGGTCTTGTTACGGAGTGCCGTCTTCGAGCAAGTCCGTGACGCACTAACTCCGTGACATTGACATTCGTGTTGCGGTTGGCCGTTTTGCGTTTGTTGAGGGCTTCTTACTCCCCGCTGCCGTGGGATGGCAGATGGGCAGGCACGCTCCCGCAGCGCAGACGCCGGTAGAGCCAAAGTCCGAGGTCGGCCTCTCAACGGGGCGACGGACCAGATCACACCCAAATCCGTGACGCAACGGACATGACACGAATTTCGGTGCTGCGCCCGAGGGGGTGTTCTTGGACAGTGGAGCCCCAGACCGCTCGATCAGGGCGGGGGTGGCAGCCCCATTCCCCGTCGAAGGATTTGGCATCCTATCCCGAGGTATGG